CCCTCGCCCCCAAACCCCTTTCCCACTTGCAGGTGGTCGTAGCGACTCCAACCACCACTCTAGCCACGACCAAGAAGATCGCAACCAGATCTGACCACGATCAAAAAAGTCATCTAGTCACGACCAACAAGGTCGCAATCAATGGAGGGGAGCAGGGGCAGGGAAAGGGAAGGGAGAAGGAAGGAAGGAGGAGGAAAGACTAAGAAGAAGGAGAGAAGAGGAGGGAGAGTCATGGGTGTGGAGTTGGTGACGGTGGTAGTGGTGAGTGATAGATGATGGTGGTGGGTAGTGTGTGAAAGAAGAAAGAGGAATTTTTTTTTACTTTTTTAAAGAATTTGAGTTGTTTTGTATTTTTTTGGATTGTTTTTTAAGTTGTTTTTAGAGTTTATTATTGTAGATGTGAAAAACAAATACAGTTTTTCAAAAATCTATTAAATCCAAATGTTAGTTTACCAATTTAAGTTATTTGAGTGGGCAAAAGTATACAAGTTGAGTGTCCACATTAAATAAAAATTAACTGAGTGACCAAACGTATACTAGCAGTGACCATTGGAATTTTTGACCTAAATTTTTTGTACTCCTCAAGTCCGATTTGATATCTAATTGGATACTCAATGTACTTACGCATTTTCGATGGTCAAAGATTACAAATTTTTTAAGCTTTAAAAAAAAAAAAGAGTTTACGGTCTTAAGAATAAATTCTAGAAAGTAACGTACTCCTTAGTGCATTTTTTGAAAAAACATTGACCATGTAAGTAAAATAAAGCAAATTAATTATGAAGGCCTAAGCCAGTAAGCCTAAATAGAAAAAACATGCTTTAACAACGCCCACCGTGGGGCTCGAACCCACGACCACAAGGTTAAGAGCCTTGCGCTCTACCGACTGAGCTAGACGGGCTCTTTGTGTTACGACAGACGAGATATCTTTTTATTTGGTTGGAAGTGTGATTTCAACCTTGCCTAAAGAACATAAGTTCGGAAAAGGGTTAGCTCCACTTTACGCTCTTTAACTATATCTAAATTTCTTGTTAAAAAAAATATATATGAATTTCTACTTTAGTCCTTAAACTTAAAAATGAAACATTTAAATTCCTAAACTATAAAATTTATTTCACTTAAGTAACATCAATAAAGAAGTGAGACAGATTTTATGTCTAAGTGAGTATACTTTAGGGACTAAATTGGGACAAACTTTATACTTTAGGGACTAAAATGGACTGATTCTATAGGGACATAAGTAAAACAAAATTTTTAATTTAGGGATTAAATGTCCCATTTTAAAATTTAGGAATCAAAGTAAAAACTCGGATATAGTTAAAGGGTATAAAGTGGAATTAACCCTTCGAAAAAGTACGTACATAACTTTATAATGAACAATCTTTGATACCAATAAAATTGCAGAGCTAAAATCAAAAGCTGATATACATACGATTTTCAAGAATCATTGATGCTACTCCAAGGCCAAAACTTTTTAATTGATTCTGATGTTGGATTCTGATGTTTACTACTTGAGACTTTACTAAAATAATTTTTTTTTTTTTTAGAAATTATGTTTTGATGGGTATTAAGCTGCATTCCACTTTCAGGTTTAAATCTAAAAAGGGGATGTAACTGGTTATCCTATGGCGTCGTACTGGAAAAGCGAGATTCAAGAAAAAAGAATCAACACAAGCTTGATCCATGAATTTGACCACCCCGCAGCAAACAAGAACAAAGAATCTGAAATCCAAAGATATCACAGCTGCAGTACAATGATTATGCTAGCAAAGCTGGCTTTAGCATAATTGAGAAATGAGAATTTCTTCTTCTGCTTTTATCCTCTGTCCTTGGGTTGGAAGAAAACCAACCACCAACCAACTTGAGTCACGGAGATGAAACAACCAATGTTATATGGCAACACTTTCCTTCAGTGCTTAGACAGCAAGATAAGGTAAATTTTACAGAAAACCCTTCTGCTTGCAACATTGGATTGCGGCATCAAACATGCCTTCTATGCCATATTTGTATTCAAAACCAGTGTCCAAGAGTTTCTTTGATGAAACACCACCATATTTGAATCCTGTCATGTCCCTCAAGGAACTGAAAGATCAAGTTGACTTCAGCTGGATTTCATCATACCAATGTGTGTGCAGTGAAGAACATTAAAAGGACTTACAACCAGCAAAGATGACTGACTTACTCAGCACTTGGTATTGGATACTCTGGGTATCGAGCTGACAGACATTCGGCCAACTTGTCAATGGTAATCTCAACAGCAGAACAAATATACCTCCCTTTGGCATCAGGGTACTCGAAGAGAAAGATGTGTGCCCTGGCCAAATCATCAGTGTGCACGAATGGTGTACTCAACAGATGCTTGTACTCATCTTGGTAACCTGCAAAATCACAGATTAAAAGGGGATTACAAGTAAAATCTTATTGATCAGGATCTTGTCGAGACTTCAAACTTGTCTTCGCTTGTTCAAAGCTAATGCAGATGTAAACAGGGCAAATAAATTAGAAACGTTCTTCACTAGGGCGTTAGTCATATGCGTTTACATGGTTGCTCCTCGCAAATTCCAGCGTAGCGTGCAAAGGCTAATAGTGCAATCCAAGCGCTGTCTATAGTTTTGTCAGTAATATAGACTGAATGGCCCCTTCCTCATAAGCTTTTCCTGATGCCTCGCAGTTTCAAAGAATAGCAACACAAAGAAATGAGTCATGCTATTATACTACTGAAAAGGAAAAGCTTACCAAAGATCATCACCATCGACATGCGCACGGAGCCAGGCAGAAAAGGGCACACAAAGGGGCCGTGTATCCAAGTAGGAATTACGCTGACAAGATCAAGACCATGTTTCTCTGCAAATTCTAAGGCAGCCTTTTCTGTTAAGATCTTGGTAATCGCATAAGTGGACATCCCATGATCTCCAAAGTTCCTCCTAACATGATCTACATCACTCCAGATGCTCTCATCCATTATGTCTAGGCCCTTATCATTGAAAGTGACGGTGGATGCACTGGAAGTATACACGACTCGTTTTACTGTCTTTGAATTGAGGCATGCCTGTAGAATTCCAATTGTTCCACTGACAGATTTCTTGATCTTTGATTCCTCAGTTTCTTTGCTCTCAATGTCTATTGGATGAGCAACATGAAACACTCCCACGCATCCTTCAATTGCTGCATTAAAGCTATCTGGCTTATCCAGATCCGCACTGAAGATCTGCAGTCTTCCTGATGCACCGGGCAGGTCTGTGAGGTAGTCAATGTTTCTCTTGCGCTCTGACAGTGAACTTCCAAGTGTCATATTTTTGTAAATTTTGGAAAAAAATATTCCAATCGCAATGAACTTTTCTTCCATCTAATAGAGATTGGAAAAGCTTCAATTTCTTTTTTCGATGTTCAATTTACAGTGACTGACAACTGCATATTAATGATACTTAATTGATACAAAATCAGTGTGCATGTAAAAAGCTGACGGTACTAAATTGTATGCCAGAAAAGTACACACTGCAGCTTTCCCTTGAAAGCTCCATCATCTCATAAACAAACGTCCTTCCAATACACAGACAAAGATTTTCTTATTCAAATAAAAACTAGGGCCAGCTCGTGAATTCAAATAGAGTAATTTAATCAACACTAGCACATGCTTTGCAAACTCCACCTTAGTCAGAAAAGCAAGAAAAAGAAAAATAGTCATCTTAGTTTAAGATCAATAGAATAGACAGCCCAAATAAAAAAGAACTTGTCAGATATTCAGCAGTCATTTTAATACAAACTGAATTGGCAATCAGAACCTAACCTGAAGAGGACCTAATTGTAGTGTTGACAGAATAACCACCTTCAAGAAGCCTTTTGATCAACCATGATGCAAAAAATCCAGTTCCACCTGTTACACACACCCTTCCCTTCTCTATCTCCTTGTTCTCTTCCATTAATTTCAGTTTGTTTCCCTCTAAAATTCTGGTGCAAGTTTGCTGGCTATGCAGTTGATCAATAATCTCTTTAACATATCTAGTCTATTGGGGAATGCCCTTGTTTTCAATTGGGCTTCAATTGCTGATGTGGCTGGTTTCCATTGGTTGATTGGTGGTCGTCCGGCCTGTAGAAATTCTCAATTGATGGTCGTCCAGCCCGTTTGCCAATTGGACGTCTGCCTTTTTGTTTGCTTGGACGCCTATCAATTGCTTTTGTTTCTTTGTTTGTTGTTTCCTGGAGAGTCTTCCGATAAAATTTGGTCCCACGTTGCCGGCTAAATCGCAATTATTAATTGTTATCTTTTAATGTACAATAACCTGAATAATGTCTGTCTTATTTTTATTTTGTTGCCCATCCGTTGTACAATTATCAGTGCTTTCTTTTGTTGCCGAATAAATCACGGCTATTAATTATTATTATTTTATTGTAATTATTGCTTTACCTGTGTTTGTTATTATTAGCTATTAATTAATTATTAATAACTAATTAATCACGCTTTTTTTATTGACATTTTTTTTCCCAACAAATCGTATTTACTTCATAACTTTTTTGCAATTATTAATGAAATTTTTTTTTGTCCAACAAATCTCATTTAATTACCTTTTTTCTTTTCAAATTTTATTAAGAAAATGTCCTCTTTTAGCCAAAATTTAAATTACCAACTTTTTACAATTATTGAACACTTTGTTTTTAAAGCACAATTAATTATCAATTTTTTGTAATTGATATATATTAACCATTAAACACCCACGTGGCGCGTGAAGATTGGCTGGTCCTGATGATGTGGAAATGCTTATTAACCATATATTGAGGGTTTTTTCTTTCCCTGGTAAACCGACGGCAGCTTCTCTTCTTTCTTCTTTCTCTGTCTTTCAAAACATAGCAGCATCAATCGATGTCAAGAGCTTTTCTTTGCTTTTGTCCTCTGGACAAAACTCCATTTTTTATGAGACCCAGAGGTCTCCCCTCAATTTCTGGCATTTGATTGTACTTGGAAGAGATTGTAATCTCAATTGGAGGGTCCGGATTTTTCCTTCTGCAGAGTGGTGTGCTTAGGATTTGATGGACGATGGGCTCGAGACAGAAAAGGGCTGGTAATCTTCTTCCCCTTCCACTCCCGGTTTCTCCAGTTCTCCCTCTTGTTCTTCTTCATCTTCCTCCCTCCCTCGAGTAGTTAGGGCTAATTTTTTCTGTTTTCCTATCATTTTCCTGATATTTCTATTTCATTGGCTAAAAGCAGCAAATCTTTTTTTTTTTCTCTCATTCTGTCGTGTCCTTTTGTGAAACAGTAAGGACGGGGAAGGTCAATATTTCATCTCCACTATCTGATGTGAATTTCTAGAATGCAGATATATGGTACTTTTCTTCCCCTTTCTTTCCATGATTAATGTCTCTGTTTCATTTCTGTTTTATCATTGATTTTTAATTTTTAATCAGAAGAAAAACTTTTAATATGGTCTGAGATGATGAATAATTGATGATTAGCTAGCTTTTAGATATTTATTTACTTTCTTTTTTGTATCTATTTGGTGATTTATTGTTCCATTTTTCGTTTTTGTCTTGGATTTCTTCTGGAGTTCGGAGGAAAAATGGCCACTTGTGAAAAACAACTGGTGAGTGAAAATGTAAGTTTGCTGCATCAATCTGATTTAATTTTTCCCTCTTCCACGCCTGGTTTAGGATTTGATGGATGATTTTTTTTCCTTTTTTTTTGTTCTTTTGGTGCTACTTTTCCAAGTATATTATTGGTTGTTGTTACAGGAAGGAATATGAAAACTTGAAGTTGACATCTCTAAGAAGTAGTTAAAGCTGGTAATATTTATTTGTGTTCTACTATTTATACTATAAACCATAGTCTTTTTCTGTAAATGGTTTCTCTCACCTAATTTAGCCTATTTTTGTTTATTGAGGTTGTTGTCAGAGAAAGGATAAAGGTAAAAGTGATTGGAAGAATGAGCAAATTTCTTCCAGTGTTTTGTGTTTTGGGTTTTATTGTGTTTGTCAAAGTAAATTAGATACAGTATCTTTTTCTTCTGTATCTTCTTTTTTTCCCTTGGCTGGCAAACATAATGAATCTGTTATATAAACTACTTGGTATTCTTCGTAATGTCAAGATTTGGGAAGCTGTATGATGAAATCTTTATTTCATAGTCGATTTTTCTGGTTTTGTGGTTTTAACGTGCAAAGTGAAATCATTATTATGACTAACTTCCTTGAAGATGTTTTGATCAGTTCATGATTCATGAGATACATAGTTATATGAATTACATAAATGGAGTTTCAAAAGCAAAATCCATTTAATCTACTATGAAGATACCATCTTTCCTCTTTTAAATTACTAAAAAAACTTGGCTCGATCTTTGACTGGAAAAATTATGTTCAGAAAATAGTATTCCTGTGCGTCACACAATTGACATTTGATGTTGGACCCAATATTGCATTTTTTTAAAAAAAAAAAGAAAATTGGAAAATAATGCATAGGAACTTCTCTAGAATTTGCTTCCACATATATGTACAATGTTTTGTTCCCTTTGGGGAAATTTCATCAGTGACATTATTTTTATTGATTGATTTCTGTTGGTAAGACTAGCTTTTATACTCTCTCAATAGATTTCTTCTCTTGTTTTGTTATCGCCATTTTTTTTTTGTGGATTCTTCTTTCTTCTAAGCAACTTTAAAGGTTCTTTTCTTTATATGAATATGTTATTATTGGGGTACATCTAATCCTAATCCTACTTCTGTAGCAGGAAATGACCATACATTGGGTTTTGTTACTGGTGGGTCTGCTCATGTTCAAATGCAACTTAGCACCAAAGAGTGTGAGAGTCTGGGATTAACTGGTCTGGCTCTCTGCTTAGACTGCATTTGCTGAGTATGTCAAGGACCAAGGTTGTACCTTTATTATATGAATTTTGTTGATCCTCAGATATTTATGGTTTTTGTGGATTTTACTTCTGGGTTTTGATGGGTTTTTTGAATTGATTACTTGCTGGTAAGTACATGGGTTGTAAAATGGTAATATTTGGGATTCTTGTTTCTGTACTATAGCTGATTGGTTGTCAAAATTAACGAATAGTGGGAGATAGATGCAATTCTTATTGCTTTTAGTTGATTTAAGGTCTGGGTTTTTTTTTTGTTTGGATTTATGAATTGCTTATTTATATGTGAGATGTCAATGGTGATAATTTGGAAGGAGAACTTGAAAAAGGCTATGTTTTTATACAAATCAGATCGAGAGACTATGCTTATAACAGTAAATAAGTGTATTTTGACTTTTGTTGTTTTCACTATAATTTTTTGTGATTAAGTTTTGTCAAAATATGGATGGGTAAATAGTATTTTGGAAGATTTCTCTTTTTTCTTTTTGTGCCTCAGATAGCTTAAGGATAATCGCAGAAATCGAAATAAGATCCTCATTGGGATTCTTAAATTATCTCATGCAATTAAGTGGCGTTAAATTGTAATCTGTAGAATTCCAAGTAACTAGCCTGGATTATGGTAATGGTTCAGTTTTGTTGCTCTTGAGGATGTTTTGCACCTGAGCTGACGATGATCAAGGCATGCAAGAACAATAGTTCTACGATCATGATTTCCTAAGTTACGACTTGTAGTTCTTTATATTTGATGATTAGGACCATACGCATTAAATTGGAATATTCTATTGCATCCTTTATTGTACCAAATGAAGTACTATCAAGACAAATTCTGAATGGAAATATGCCATTTTTTGAAACCTATACCAGAGAACCCTTATTCTTCAACTCTTTTACATCCATTCTGGTGAATTTGAAAAATTTAAATAGCTGAAACTTGTGTAACAGAATTCATCAATTATATAATGACTTAAATTTGTTAAAGAATTTTGGATTGTAAGATTACAATAAACTTTTTGAACATTCTGCAATAATTTACTTAAGAGGAAGAAAATTGCTCATGTCGTCAAGAAATCCTGGATGTTTGACAAGATCTGCATTTAACATATCCAGTTTAGAGGGCAACTTATATAGATTTCTGTATAATATTGGAATGATCTTTTTGAGCATTCTGCAAATAATATACTAAGTAGAATATGATAATCTGGAAAACCCGATGTTTGAAAAGACTCCGGATGCAGTTTAGATTTGTCAGTGCCTCTCAGAAATCTGCCCCTTGGCTTTACCTTAGGCTTAGAGATGGCTTGCTGGATTGGTCTATTTTTATCTATTGATTTTCATTCTGAATTTTTGTGTCCAAAGCTTGGTTTTGACTTTCTTGGTTTTGCATCTGCATCACCGCATGAAGCTGCAGCCGGGGAAAACTTCATTGACAGAGTTTTCATTATGGGTCTATGGAGACTGCATTTTGGAGATCTCTTTTGTATGTGGATAGGATTATATGTTATTTTAAAGTTTCTTTTATGCAAAAAAAAAAAGAAAAGAAAAGAAAAAAAGATGTTAAATTTGTTGTATGTTGTTGACGTAAAACATATCTTGCATCTGAAATATTTTCATTGTGTAATTATTTGATTTGGTATTTCAAAACTCATTCATTGTCGTAATAAGATTTTGGACACGAGATAATGGCTTGTTTCTCTTATCAGTTATATGTAGATCTTTAGTGCATATTGTGTTAAATCCTGTATCTCTTGCTATTATGTAGTCATCTTTATCGTGTTGAATCCTATTTCTCTTGCTATTATGTGGTCGTTTCTATATTTTATAATTAAATAGGCTTCTTATCCGACACAGTTGAGTATTGCTCTCAAAAAGTTGAGCTTCCTCTTGAATTTGTTTATGAGTGGCACATATTTTATGCACATCAAATCATGGCAAATACAGTTAGTCGATGCAAGATGACGTTACAGGGTATATATTACTTTGAAATTTATGACATTGCCAATCGTATTCCATTAGTAGGTAAAGCAAAAAATAACCTTTCGTCACTTAGTCACTAAGTTAAAATTGTGGCTTATTTTCACTGCTTAATAAAATCACAAAAACCTAATCCTAAAGATTTTGGTGCACCTTTATATAACTTGTCATGCTTATTATCTAAATTTGAATAATTGGACATTTCTGGGCAAGTCTAAAAGTTACACCGCGCATCGCGCGGTGTTATCCTCCTAGTGTAACTTCTAAGCTTCAAAGAATGGAGATTTTACTACCAACAGTCAATTACACTCAATTGTCTAGGCCCCACTTGAAATTTGGTGGTGGAGTTCTTGGTAGGAGGTGAAAAATACAAATCAGTCCCTTTATTGATTTAAGTGACACTTTATCACTTATAGTTTAGACTGTTTAGTAGTAGTTAGTACAATTAGGGGACCACCGGACATCTCCTTAGTGACTACCAGCAGGGCCGCCGGAGGGCGTCACACGAACAAAAGCTAAATTAGTTTTGTTTAATTTAAAAAAAAAAAAATCAACCTTTAGCCGCCAATAAGTAGTAATGACTAATAAGTTCAAGCATTAAAATTATAGATTTGAATCTGTCAATGTTTTTTGGGGCAAATTCATCATTTTATTTGCTATTTATATATTTTTTATAATACGAATTGAAAAAGTTATTTACACTTCCTTTTTTTCTAAGCACTCTTGGTATCATTTTTATTATATTATGTTTATTTATTTGACTATATAATAAAATAAATGATTAAATTTAACTTTTACACATATAATATTATCTATTTAACAGCGATAGTGTATACACTATCAATTCGTATAAGAGTTACTCTAGAACAAATGGTAAAAAAGTAGTAAATAAAAAATGCAGTGCAAATAACATTTCTCTACGAATTAACCAACTTGTTTGTTTGCACGATATTTGGATGAATGTTTTCCTTCATAGGCGTTGAATACAGATTGATTTGTTTTCTTTCATAGGCGTTGAATAGAGATTGATTAGTTAACATGCGACTTGGTTTTTATCATGTTTTTGTTAAATTGAATTTTCAAAAAAAAAAAAAATCTTCCATCTGTCCCCACCCTTCCAACTCCATTGTCAAATTGAAATTAAATTTAAAAAGTAGCTAAATATAGGAGAGTAATAAACATGAATTGAATGCATTGAATTGGCCAATTAAGTAAACTAATAATTGCTCATTAGACATGTTAGAAAATTCTGTTAATGAATCGAACAACTTTGGGCAAACACAAATTTATTGTTGTTGCAGTTTTGTTACTTGATGATTTATCTAATATTCTTAAAGGAAAGGACGGGCAAAATGTATTTTCAGCCTAGCTTAAAATTTCATACTAGCCATTAATGCCTCACTTCTTTAGTCTAATAAAGATATATTTCTGAAGTGCCAGATAGCTAAACTAGGGGTGCAAATGAACCGAGCGATTTGTGAGTTGCTCACGAGCTGATCGGTTAAATGATCAACTCGACTTGACATTGATCGGGTTCGAGTTGATCACAAGCAGCAAGTATTGATTATTTTTTGTTAAGGTTGATAGCTTGTCGAGCCTTATCGAGCAGTACATATAACCTATAAAAAATTATATTTATAATATATATACACACACATTAGTGTATAGTAAATTACATATATAGGTATTAAGTTATTGTAAATTTTTAAAATACCTCCTTTTTCTAATTCAACTCAATACATCGAGTTCGAGTTTGTTCGAGCTCAAACGAATCGAAATCGAGCATCTAGAAAAAGTTAGCGAATCAAGTTTGATCTGTAGAATTTTAAGCTCGATTGAGTCGAGCTCGAGCACAGTACTGTTCAGAATCGACACGACTCGTTGCACCTCTAAATTGAACGGCAAAGACATTAAAAAAACAAAATGGATGTTTCATCTCAAAAGTTTCACTTAAGTATTACGTATGCAAAACCTAGTTTTGGTGCCTATTTTATCTCCTTGAAGTTGGCATTGTTGGAATTTTCTGAATATTGTGACGGTCATATGAACTCGTGTAGTAGTTGGAGAACTTTCTTGAATTGACTTGAAATCAATGCGTTTTTTCTGAGCTTAATTACGCGTATAAAAAATTTCATGCTACTAAGGATACTAATAATTTCAGTTAGCCCCTTTCTTATATTGTTAAGTAACAAATTACTTATTTCGTCAAGTTGCTATTATTATTGTCTATAGCCAGGGGAGGTATGTGTAATTCTCTTTAACAATGAAGGCAGCTCGATGAAATTATCAAATGCTTTAGGGAGGTTTCTACAATTATTCATTATTACACCGTCAAAATTTGTCATTGATGATCTCATCTTGACAAAAGTCAGGTTTGAATTTTCTCAAAGCCCAAGTTACGCAGTCAAGTCAACAGCTTACCATTTTCTAAACAGACACCTTAGTTACCATATTGCCCCTGCAGTGACCCCGTCAACAATTTAAATACCTATTTAATTTTAGGTTACGCTTTTTGGCACATTAATAAAATGTTTCACAACTTTAAATGAAATTTAGGTTACGCTTTTTGGCTACAAAAAGACTGTGGTAGTAATCATTTGAAATTGATGTTGGAGTGCATTTATCAATTCCAGCCTTTCTATTTTGGATTTAGTTTCCTTTGCGAGAATTCATTATTCTATTTAGTGTTAGTTGGAGAAAGAAACAAATGTAACTACAAGCATTTTAAAGCTAATTTATAAAAAAAAAAGGTTTTTTTTTGGCATTAACTAAACTAATAGAATAAGGCCTCAACTTTTTCCAAAAGAGGGTTGGTAGGGAGGTAGATTTTACATTTTAGTGAAATATATATATATATATCCTATATTTCTTCTAGTTGATTACAAGCTTGTTTGGATTACTATTTTTCGAAACTTTTATAGAAAATATATATTATAGTAATTTGATATATGTGAGGTGATTGAAAATATATTTATTAAAAATATAACAATTTTTTGGAGAAACATTATTGTAATCTAAATAAGATAAATCATTCATAATCGTGATAAGCACGATTTAAAATTAAGTATCAAAATATACAATAATGTACTCATTGATAAATAAGGAGTTGGCCATCACATTAATTGCGAGGTGAGAAGTCAATGGTTCGAATTTTACCTTCCATTAATGTGTTTTAATACGAGATTTGTTCTAAATTCATATGGATGGCACTCGTATAGTGATCTGATAGCGCGGTTCAATCCCTATACCGTTACGATAAATAAAAAAAAAAAGTACAATCAACGTCATTAAGCGTACATAAATGGCACATTGTCTTGAAAATTGTCACCTACAATTCAAATAAATATTTGAAGCAACTTTTGGGAGTCTGTCTCGTTTACTTAGACCTTCTGGATGTTCTTACCCCAAAACCAAAACCAAAACACAAAAAACTTTCCCAAAATATTAACTTTTATAATCCCCAAAAAAACCTTAATAATAATAATACTACTCCTATTTAGCCACTGGAAAAGTTTACAACCTTGCACTGTACGTCGTACAACCTTCCTAACATAAA